GGGGGGGGGGGGGGGGGGGGCAATGCATCTGCCCCTCCCAGTTCCGAGGTTCCGCCCTCCCTTTTAGGGAAGGAGTGCTCGGCGGGCGGCTGCACAAAGGGCAAAAGGACCGTAAGGGCCGGACAGGTTGCTTGTCAGCCGCGGGCTGGGTCCTTTTTGCCTGGAGAAAAGCGGACTCGGGGGCTTTTCTCCACCCGCTTTCTCCGCTCTGCCCAGCCGCCGACCCCCACTCCCTGGAGTTTCGCGATGCCCTTCCCTTTGCTGAGCCTGGCATTGCTGCTGGCTAGGGTGACTCGGCCCGGGCTGGCGGGGCCAGTCAGCACTTGCGATGCCAACGGGAGCCTCTACTTCCTAGGGGAATGGTATTCCCTGGAGAGTGACCACTGCATCCAGTGCGAGTGCACGGCGGAAGGGCCAGCTTGTGCCCGCATGGATTGCGCCGCTCTGCCGCCTGCCTGCATTCACGTCAGCCACTATCCGGGCGACTGTTGTCCGCGCTGCGAACGTGTCGGCTGTGAGCACCGAGAGCAGGTTTATGACCTGGGACAGTATTTCCAGGTGAGGCAAGCCAACGATCGCGTGGGAGGTGTGTGTGGGTATGTGAAAAACCATCAGGCGACAACATCGAGGCCAGGCAGGGATGGGTGATGGCCGCTTCCTTGAGGGTGCGAACCTGCTTACCCCGGGCTAAAAGTGAAAGCTGCTAACAAAGTAGTTGAGAAGTACCTCCGTCTATTGAAGATCCGAGTTGGGACATTGACAACATAGGCTTGACTTGTTCAGTCCAGATCAGGGGTGAAATCCAGCAGGTTCTAACAGGTTCTGGAGAACTGGTAGCGGAAATTTTGAATAGTTCAGAGAACCGGCAAATACCACCTCTGGCTGGCCCCAGGGTGGGGAGGGAATAGAGATTTTACAATATCCTTCCCCTGCCACGCCCACCAAGCCATGCCCATAGAACTGGTAGTAAACAAATTTGAATTTCATCATTGGTCTAGAGGCAAGACCTGGTTTTCCTGGAGGATAGTTGGCTATGAAATGGAAACGGAATTGCCACTTCAAGGATTGTCTTACAGTGTATTAGAAAGTGAGGTAGGTGACAAGCATTAGATTAGAAATGAGGAAGAAGAGGTTTCTTAAAGTCAAAATGTCTTGACAAGCATGAAAGTAAAATAAGGACTTTAGTACTTATTTTAGGACTTTCTGTCTGTAGTACAATTTCTGTCTATTCAACTATCCTCTATGTTATTTCTCAGTCCCAACACTAAATCACTTTGGTACCTTCTTTCTGGCTGCTGCTAAAATTGTTTGAAATGTATTTTAAGAGGTGAGTTGTCAGGCCAAAGAACTTGCTGGCCAGGAGGAACCGGGCAATGAGGGGGATGGGGGCAAAGATCCTTATCAATAACTGAATAAACAGATCTAGACTAAGATATTATGGGTGGAAGATCAAAGCTTGCTCTACTCCTGGGTTCCCTGCGTCTGAGAATCACATGAATCATTCCCATGAAGCTGGGCCAATCCTCATAACTGGACAGTGAGCAGATAATGTCCTTGCTGTCAATTTTGCTGAGTGTTCTTAAGAGACATTTTTCAGTGAGCAGATGGAGCCTAGTTCACCAAAAACAATTATTTCCCTTCCCATTAATTTTCTTCTCTCACTCTTAATAAGATTGTGTGCACTTGAAAATGATTTGAGAGAAGTGCTTTGGATCTCATGAGTAAGCACCTCCCCCTATTCATTTAGAGCAACCACAACCTTTTTCATGCTTCTGTGCCAACATAACTGTGTTAAATTCATTAAAGTTAATTCATTTTTTAAAAGTGGCATCTTTTTTTTAGGCTTACTGAAACAAGAGAGTACTTCCTCCCATCGTTTGTGAGGCATGATCAGCCCTTTTAGAGAGGCCTAAATTTTGAAGTTTGCCCATAACTTTTTGGAGATGGGTACAATATTGCATGTTTGATTTTTAGTAAAAGTAACAATGAAACTGTAACACCATTTGCATTTGTATAAAAGTGAAATGTTGTTGGCAAATTGCTTTTTAAAATATGTGAGTAGCTGAAGGGATTACATTTTAGTATTATAAGCAACAAGACAAGCAATTTAGGAAGAAGGGGAAAATATTTGCTTTTCTATAGCACCAGAATAGGGCAACATCTTGCCAAATCCGATCTGGAAAACCCTTGGGGATTTTTAAGGTGTGGAAAGCTTCTTTTCTTATATTTTAATTTTTTTTTTAGTTTTAGGATTCTGATCATGTCTTTTGGCAACAGGCTATAATGTACATGTGACCAACTAAAATGATTTCAACAGTTCAATAGAGGTGTGACTTTATATAACCATTTGCTTGTTCCATGGAGAAGGAATTTAATACAGTGAAGAATAATGTAAGTAAATATGGTAGCTGGCAGGAAGGACACAAGAGGATTGAGAATAAGATCAAGCTGATCGTTACCCATTTATATTTATTCATTATTGTTAGTTTGGCTTCCCTAACACTAGTGGTAGGTTTTGCTTCTAGAGATATAATGAACTGAAACTAACAGTAACATCTTTGTTGACTATTTAAGTGCAGATCCTTAAGATTCCTGGAGGCATCACCTCCATTGTTGTAGATGTGTTTAGCACATCCTGATCTGAAATTCCATACCACAATCTTTACATGCATAATCAGAACAAAAAAATATTTATTTCCTACTATATTAAAATGGTGGCTGGAGGCTAATAGCTCAAGAGATCCTATGGGAGGTTTGCATTTCTCCTAAAACTGAAGCCAATCTGAATGGATGGTGCCCTCTGATGGTACCATCTTAGTATTGTGAAGCCTATGAAAATGTTTGCAAGTGCTACAAAATTGCAGAAAATGTGGAAATGCTTGCAAAATGTTTCACTTATGGAGAAGTATGGTGTCTGCCAAATAAATCTTTTGGGCACGTCTTTCTCCCACTTGCTTGGATAACGCACTTGCCTTTAAAATAAAACAGTTTCTGTAGTAGATTTGGGCACAAATATGAGGTTCCTCAGCTGGGAGGATCCCAGTAGCAATATGGCAGCATCTTATTCTTAATGCTTTTTTTAGAAAAACTCTTTCTGGAAGAGACTTCAGCAGGACCTGAAAAGGGAAATGTGAGTAAGCAAGAAGGAAGTTGCTTAAGCATGAGATCAATACTGAAATCACTCCTTCTGTTTGTCTCTAAAAAGGCGACCCCTGTCAAGTTTTTGTTTAAAGGGGATTAATTATGTCTTGCAAATACTTACTATGTGACTGCAGTGATGGTGAACTGTTCGCACAGCACTAAGAGAGTCATTGTAGTGAGAGAATAAAGAAAAAGAGGCGGGCGTGCCCAGAAGGCATCTTCCAGAACCTTGCAGCATGACAATGTGCAGAAATAACAGAAAAATAAGTTTTGTGCCAGTCTGTAAGAATATGCACACAGGATGGGCACAGCTTGGGAATAAATTCTTCCAATGCTGTTGTGTACATAGAGGATTGCAAATTGTCGTGGCCCATTGATCAAGCTTTGTTTTCTCCACCCACCCCACAGCCTTCCGAATGCGAGCAGTGCATTTGTGACTTGGATGGGACTGCCCGCTGCCTGGTAGCAGACTGTGCCCCTCCACCATGTGTCAATCCCATCTATGAGAAAGGCCATTGCTGCCCCATCTGCAGAGAAGGTGAGAAATTAAGGGAAAGGTATGCCACTCCCAAGTAACCACTGGGCTATAGCACTTGCTTTCCTCTTTGAGGGGTGCCCTAATGAAAATGTAAAGAATGAGTTAGATTTCTGCGACTAATGTAAGTACTATAAAGCTATACTTTTACTTATGTTCCAAAATCTGGGAATGCAGGGAATTGTTAGGTTCTGACAAACTCATCCTCAAATGTATGACTGCTGCACATGTACACACTGGGGTCAGTTGATCACATTTTGGCTGCTTGACAAATTGCTTGGGATTGTACAATTGCAATTTGCTAAAAAAAATATTTTTTTTTTGCAGTTTGTGGTGTTTTTTGCTGGTTTCTGGCAAAAAAATGTCCATTACAGGCAAATGGATTTGCTTAATGACCATGTGGTTCGCATAATGGCTGTGGTGCTTCATTTTGTGAGCATCATAAAAACAGCTGTAAAATTGAGCAAGGTGATCTGCTTAATGACCTCAACTTACCAACCATAATTCCAGGCTCATTTATGGCCATTAAGAGAGGACTGCCTGTATTTGCCTTTTCTGTGCCACACCCACATAGGAAACCCATTTTGCTTCTGATAACTCATGCAAGCTACATTTAGAGGGTCAATGGCCAAGTGAGCGCTGATTGATGGTCTCTGTTGTTTTGTCTTATCTTCAGGGTAAATCTTGGTGAAAAGTGAGAAAATACTTTTATTCCCACAGGACCAAATTGTTATGTTGATGGGAGCCAACACATCATTCCTGCTGGAGATAGTGTCTGGGTCGGTCCCTGTACTCGCTGCCACTGTCACGATGGCCAAGATGCTGGCTACTGGGAAGGAAACCGCTTAGCTAAATGTGAGCAGATGACAGGATGCCAAGTTCCAAACAGTCACCATTCCTAACCCATTTAAATATTAAGTGGTTCCTTAACCACATCTCATAATCTCTTTAAGGGCTAAGTTACAAAGAAACCTCACCAGATACTCTTCTGCCAATTCCAAACTACAATTACCCATCCTAGACCCTGGATCAGAGTCCAGTTCCCTACTCCTCCTATCTAGATTTTCTATAAAAGACCCTTCATTTGCTGCTGCACTATAATGCCCATCATCCCTTGCCAATGGCACTCCTGCCTAGGGTTGCTAGAAGTGATACACTTCTGCAACAGCTGCAAGGCAACAACCTTCCCATCCCTGCTCCCCAAACACATTGCCAATAGCAATTTCTGATATATTTTATATAGGATTTGACTTTCCTATGTTCATTCCCCTCCTAGAATTCCAGTCAATTCCACTCAAAAGACAACTCTTTTGTACAGGGTTATACTGAATAGCTTCATCTGCATGAACTTCTTGACTATGTGACAATAAAGGATCCTTATAAAACAGCTTCTCTTTCCTCTACGACTACACACATAATTTCCTGGGCCAATTACTCGTGTTTCTACCCCCTAAAATCAAGTTAGTGTGAGAAACTACAATGCATTTTGGAAATGTCTTAAATTTGGCCTTGCTAAGCAGAATAAAGGAAAGAAACCACAGATGAGGAATGTCCAATCTGGTGTCTTCCATAAACTCCAACAAGCAACATTGTCAGCCAGTAGAGTCAAAGGCTGAGAATTCTGGGTACTGAAGTCCGGGCATGTCTGGAGAACACTAGAAAAATAAAGGCAATGGTATGGGCTGTCCCAGCCCAGAGTCTCCCACAGAATTCTAGACACAAGGAGTTTCCAAGTTTTGAAACTTTACTGAATACAAAAGTCTGACCATAGTGACCAGTGTTGCATTCACCATAGGCTTGAAAAGGGATCAAAACATTCAAATGTACAAAAGTCACCAGCACCTGGGCTATTTGACATGCTGGTGCCTGGCTTCCAGCCTGGCCCAGTTGTCACCCCAAAGTGAACAGGTGCAGGTGATTCTACTTGCCAGGCACCATAACCAGAATGAAGGAACACCAGCAGCTTCCTAGCTCCAAGTACTAGGTGTAGGACTGCCACCAAGATACCATCAGGGCTGTGATTGAGGGTAGTTTGATTTTAAAAAAAATGAGTGGTTAAGGGCAGGATGCCTGGCAGAAACTGTAGGGCTGCTAGAATTGCTTGAGGAGTGGAAGTTGGGATGGTAGTGGATCAAGGGAAAACAGGCTGAAATCTACCTTCACGTTATTCCGTTCTATAACAAATGGCTACAAGTTCTGCGTGCTTATGATAGTGAGGAACAAGCCCACTTTAGGGTATGTCACACCGTACATCCATCTATCCACCCTACTAAAAGGTACAACCTCACTACCCATCCAATCTGCTCCACGGAAAGGAAGAAGAGAAATCACAGCTAAGAAGAAAGTCCTGTTGTACCATGCCAGACAGGCTACACATACATTAACCCAGGAAGCACTCAAGTATTCTAATGAGGATTTGTATAAAACACCCCTGTGTACTGGAGTCAGAAAAAAGCATCCAGGGGACAGCACCAAGCCATGAATGGAGGTGGGCAGTGGGCCAGACCCATTAGAGCTTTTACTGGCGATGGAGCTCTCCTCAATTGTAAACCATCTCTAACCTTGGTAGCTGGCAGTCACTGTGAGACCAGACTGTGCCTGGAAGAAAGGCTCAAAAGGCAGTAGTCCTTCAGTCTGTGAGAAGAAGCAAAGAGCAGCCACCATACCCTTGGAATCTTTCAGGGGCACAGCCTTGCAAAAACTTGAGGGAGAGGATGGACTCTGCCAGAGACAAAGGGAAGGTCAAAGCCCTACACAGGGCTTCTCTGCTCTCAGGGCCTTCCTCAGCAATTGGGAGCTTGGCTCTGCCCAAAATTGAAACACCGGACCAAGCATGTAACACACATTCATTCTCCAATCTGAAGGGCACTGTGGAGAACTGACTAGTGTTAAGGAGCTAGTCTTCAGCCAAAGGCAAGGACGAGACAAAGATATGTCCTGAGCCTTTCCCCTTTTCCCATGAAGGAGGCAGACAGGTTATCCAAGTCAGGACACAGTCCTCTGAACCGGTCAGGGCTGAAATCCATGTTGCTCCTCATGCATGGGACCACGGGCAGGGCCAAGCAGCAGAGTCAACCCCGAGAAGGGCGTGGCGGCGGTCGGCCAATATCCACAGTCACATTGGTGTACATGGGACGGCGAAACTTCTCCACGAGGCGGTACTGCAGTGAACCAATGCCATCGCGTTTCATGGTCACCTTGGTATTCTGAATTTTGGTGAACCTGCCACAAGAACAAAACAGAACCTCATATTTCACAGTTAACTTTGGCACAGGCTACAACAACAGACCCTCAAATGAATGGAACTAAGGATTAAATAGAACATTACATCATTTGGTGGGATTCTGATCAGTGCATTACATACGATAACATTACATAAATTAATGAAAGATGCAGTAGTCTCTGTAGTTTCCACCATAATGCATTTGTTATTCCATAAGTTCTATACAGGGCTGCCAAAACTAAATTATGTCATCTGAACCACTGGTGAAATCTAATTTTTTTTTGCCACCGTTTCTGTGGGCGTGGCTTGGTGGGGTTTTTTTCATGTGATCGGGTGGGCATGGCCAACTTTTTCCCACTTTTTAAAGCATTTTTTTTACTGCCAGTTTGGGTGAAAAGATAGGGGAAAAATAAAAATGGAAAAAATGGTTCTGACGATCATCTGGATCAGCTATGAGCCGTGCGATCATCGGACCCACTTTATTTCACTTTTTAAAGCATTTTTTCCCTACCTATTTGCCTGAACCAGCAGGAAAAATATGCTTTAAAAAGTGAAAACAAAAAAAGGTTCCGACAATAGCACGGCACAGTGTCACCGAACCTTTTTTTCACTTTTTAAAACTTTTTTTTTACTATTGATTCGGTTGAATCAATTCTGCTACCGGTTCCAGTCAGAACTGGTAGCATTTCACCCCGATCTGAACGCAATTGCTACCCAAAACTCTCCATGGAGTCTACAACATTCAGGAAAGAGATACAAAAATCTTCCTCAAATGATGTACCCTGATTGGAATTCAAAGTGAAATGGTTGGCAAGAGAACAGTAAAAACTGATTATATTTCAAGATTAGAGTTGAGAGTAATTCAATCCTGGCTCTCTTATCGGATAAACAAAGGGAAACCTATGTAAATCAATATCAAATAAATGCCATCCTAGTTATCCCACATTGCCTATTCTCTACATCAATGGTCCCCAACCTTTCTGGCTCCATGGACTGATGGCAGTGGTGGTGTGAAGGGAGGGGATGGTTTTTCACATGCTACCTAATCTTGCTGATGCTCAAATGAAGCTACGCGTATTTGCCCACCACTTGCAGAGCCCAGTTCCCAAAGGGCCACAGACTGGGCTACGGGATCCCTGCTCTATATACTAAATTCTAAGGAAGTCAGTTCAAATCCTTTCCTCCATGAGTAGACCATAGCTTTATTCTAATCATTGATACATGTACATATATAGGAGTGAAAGGCAAATGAGAGTAGAATGGGAAAGAGAAGACTTGAACAGCATAAAATTCCCTTCAGAGACATGTTACAGCGGGGAAGTACAATCTAAGACTCAAGGATATAACTTCGTACCTCCTTCCAAAGTTTTCAGCAAATTCTATTTTTCAATGTTGATAGAAGGGGGAACTATTAAATATAAGAGGGTTAAATATTGGTTTTATTTAATTAATTATTTAATCAGATTCCTTTCCCTTTTCCCACCCACTTCTTTATCTTAGTTTCCTCAATTTTCAAATTGTGTTTTTAGTTTTATTTTCAAAGGCTGTGGTCCTTATCCTCTTCTCTCAAAATAGTCTGTACTCCTCTGCTACAAGGAGAAACATTAAAAAAATGTGTACAGTATATCATTTACTTCCCTTTGATAAAGAGAAGATCCTTGAAAGATTACTCCCACAACCTTCCAATAGATGTCAGGAAGGTTACTTTTGCAACAGAAAATTGATCTGCAGTCTGGGGATTGAGAGTATGATGAAAGTTATGAGGATTAGATAGAAAGTCAACACAGATACAGTCTTACCGCTGGGGATTTGGTTCATTGTGCCGATCGCGCTCATGCTTGATCATGCGATAGCGCCCAATGCGAGCGTCAGGACGTGATACTTTCATGCCGTTGAGTGAGATTCTAAGAACAGTATAGGACATAGGTTAGCAAAACAGTGAGCTTCAAACAAGCCTTTAAAATAATGGAATTATTTAACAATATTCTATTCTCTATTCTTCCCCACCACATTTCTGGCTTTCATGAATTGATCAATGAGAAAAAGGTAATTACAAAAAATTCAGTATATATAATTCAATTCAATTCAATTCAACCCTTTATTGTCAGAGTACATCATGTGTACAATGAGATTGGCTAAGCCTCCCTTTGTGAACCTTGTGTCTTTACACACACACACTACAACTCACAGTGAAAGACAAAAAATCCCTAGCCCAATGAATTCTACTAACAATCACCCAGTCCTATTGCTCCATGTGAACTTATTGCATTTTGCGCCGGCCCTGCAAGTCAATCATACTATGTTGTTGAGTTATTTTTCTTCATAACTGCAGAATCATCCCATCCAGCAAAAGAATCAGTCCAAATACTCCCTTTACATCAGGGGTACATGGTCCTGTTCTGGGCTTCAGCCCATTCGGAACTGAGCTGCGAAAGTGAGGTGAATGCACCTGCATATATGAAGCTGCATGTGTAAAAGTGGTGGCACGCATTAAGCCACCCTTCTCTTCCTCATCATCCCACCATCACCACCTCTGGCAGTCCGAGCCAGAAAAATTGGAGATGCCTGCTGTAGATGCTATATGGAAAAATGTATTACACCAGTGGTCACCAACTAGTGATCCGTGGACCAATGGTGGTCCATGAGAAAATTTTGGTGGTCTGCAGAAAAATTATTTGCATTTTTTATATTGCACTAAATACCATTTATCTTTTTTTAAAAAAATCATATTAATGGTCCCCGGGATTTAAAATTATGAATTTAGTGGTGTCTGAAATCCAAAAGGTTGGTGACTCCTGGATTACAAAAACCCACAGAAGAACAAGTACTGGGTGGGCTTAGCCCAACTGAAGTCTCTCACATACCTGTTAAATATGTCATCATCTTCTCCACCCCAGCCCCAATACTCATTAGGGAAGCCATTAATCTTCAGAAACTGTGTCTTGCTTAGGCCAGAGACTCCTCCAAAGTAGCCAGAGTACGGTAACCTGTAGGGGACAAGCAAGAGAGATGAGGATCAATCGAACTAGAAACAAGTTCAGAAGCATAGATCTAGATGGGCTAGGGAAAGCCTGTTGTAGATTAAGCCCCAATTTCTAAACCATGTGTGTGATGTGATCTATGTCACTTATTGTTCCCACAATATCGTGCTCTCTCTAAATGCTGTCCAATTTCTCATCATATTAATTGGACTCACAGATAGCAATAGCACTTAGGCTTACTTATATACCGCTTCATAGTGCTTTTACAACCCTCTCTAAGCGGTTTACAGAGTCAGCATATTGCCCCCAACAACAATCTGGGTCCTCATTTTACCCAGGATGGAAGGATGGAAGGCTGAGTCAACCTTGAACCTGTGAGACTTGAACTGCTCAATTGCTAAACTGCAACTAGAAGTCAGCTGAAGTAGCCTGGAGTACTACACTCTAACCACTGTGGCACCTCGGCTCTTATCAGATTCTATCTGATAAATCCAGGATCATATCCTTTTTTCTTGCTTATTTTCAATGATCTGGAAACACTTGATAATAAAGCTTACAATATGAAATATTCACAAGACATTGCAGCCTAAGTTTTTACATCACTAGTACATAGATTTTGCCTGTATCCATGCCTGATAACAGAATTTTCACCCAGGGGTAGATTTAGGTATGGTAAGTGTACAGTGTGAATGTAAGTTATATTTCATATATGTGCATGCATTAAATAAAAACATATCCAGATTCTGCTTCTTCCTTTACTCTTGAGTCTAAAAATTTCAAAGATCCTCTGGTATCTCAGGAATAACCAGAGTGCAAAGAACTACATTAACCTGCAAGCTCCAGTTAAGAATTTCATCTGAATACACTCTCAAAGAGCTGGTTTTGAAATGTATTAAGAAACAGATGGGAAGTTATGAATATATTATACTATACCAGTGGTTCCCAAACTTTTTTCAGTCCACCGCCCCTTGGTGCTACAAACTGATCCTCAGTGCCCCCCACCCAGTGGTGGAATTCATTTTTTTTTACTACCAGTTCTGTGGGCATGGCTTGGTTGGCGTGGCTGAGGGGGTGTCATGTGACTGGGCAGTTTGTAACAGGAAAATTCAAAACCATAACAATTAATTACACAGTAGTTTTGGGTGATGGTTTGTCTTAAAAGACACTTAAAAAGAGCAGCTCGTTTCCTACCAGTTTGCCCCTGGAGTTCATGCAAAACTTGTTTCATCGTCGCCCACATCAAAATTCCCTTTGGCCATTGTCCTGTGGCCCCCTTCACACCCAAGGAACACCACCCACCACCCCCTTTTTTGTGTCACCGGAGGATTTTAGTTGCCACACACACATATGGGGATCCCTGGTCCTGGGATCGCCCTTTACACCCCTGCAGAAAAGAGGGCTCCCTGCCTACGGAACGCGATATTGCTGTCCTTGGTGCACAGTGCATGGATCGGTGGAGCGTGCACCGACTGACTGGCTACCCTGAGGAATGCACAGTGTGCAAGAGGCCAGAAGCAACCATTCAACGGGATGGGGAGGGGGAGGACAGGAGTGGCCCATGTCTGCGGCAGGCTCAGGGAGCATGCACGTTCCGAGCCGTTGCGCTCAGTCTGGAGAGGGGGGAGGAAAAAAGCCTGAGCAGCATGTGCCTAGCCGCTGCATGGGAGTAGCTCGGTGTCTTCCGATTTAGTTGTTTCGACTCCCTCCCCTCCTCTGCTCAGTTGCGCGCTCTCTGTATGTTTTTCCCTCTCTCCCTCTCTCTCTCCCTCTCTCTCTCTCTCTCTCTCTCTCTTGCTGGGTGGTGGTTGAGGTTACTGGTAGTTAGGATCGATTCTGCTGTTGCTTAAGTTGCTGCGGCAGACAGCAGCAGCAACGAGAAGCAGCAGTGGTAGTATCGAGTAGATCAGTGGTTCCCAAACTTGGCAACCTTAAGACTTGTGGACTTCAACTCCCCGAATTCTGGGGGTTGAAGTCCACAAATCTTAAGGTTGCCAAGTTTGGGA